TGGCAACTCTCATTGATGATGGCGGCGAAACATTTGGGATTGTATCAAGTCAACAGTCCGATACTGGAAATCTATAATATTGTAGACTAGGTACGTTCCAAAAGGTCTATCTGGCGCTCCATTAATGTTGTGAAAACGAGGTAGAACCAACACTACAAAGCTAAAGGAGGCTGCGACCAAGCAGGATACACCATCTTCATCTTCATATCTACTGTCCAAATCATTGTATCTGGCATATAGTAGAGCACATCGAAAAAATTATTTATTTGTTTTATCTCGTCTTCACAACTTGGGCGGAGTGACAGGGAGACCTTGTGGAACAATCTAGTACTACGTACTGTACCATAGTATTCATAATGCTTTCAAGCATCGGGCAGTTGATTTTTTACATTACCAGAAGTTTCGCCTGCATCTTCAGAGAGAGAAAGACGCCAAACTTCGCGCAGAGTTACATATTATTTTAATTAAAAGTGAAGCTAATCCCCTTGACCAATTTTGTGCTCAACTGTTTTGGCATCACTCCTCCGCCCCTTTTTAACAAGTTTCTGGTGCTACGTCCCTTAATTCATATGTCCCATTTATTTATTGACACTACTCTGAGTTCTCGTTTCATTTAATGTAACCTAAAAATGGGTCACTACAAGTGGATCTAGTTAAGCATAATCATCTTCACCACAGATTTCTAAAGCCACTCGAAGGGATTATGGGTCACAGCTTGACTTTAATTAAATCCCTGTCTATCCGGCTGCATAGAGATTTCGATTCCGATCCCCGTTAGTAATATAAAAAAATTAAAATTATTTGTGTTAGTAATTTCAATGTTTATCATAAAATAGCTTTCAAGACTATTAGGAAATCTTGAAGAATTGTTCTCACTCTAGGTCGCATATGGTGCTAATGTGCTAAAGATCAAATTATCCAACAATGATATGGGTAGGCAAGTTAATTTCATTATATTCGAGAGAAGTATTCAAGACTAATAGTAATTGATGTTAAGTGAGTACTCAACCTAGGTCGGCTAAGGGGATTTAAGGACTGATAGTTGAGTTATTCCACAATGCTATGATTAGGCCTAATGATGCCATTAAATTTCCCTTAGTCTCGTATCCTAAAAGGCCATCTCGCCCAGGGTGGACTGCGGTTTCCGCCTTGCCTAAGCTTCATTAGCGATTGCAATACGATTCGACATGACGCTATTACGTCTACATCACACTACAAGTCAGCAGGTTTAAGCGAGTCACAGGGCAGATGCGACCTATAAGGCGAGTCAGGCACCTCCCAACTCCCATTTATGGTGAGATTCGAGACTAAGCAGGCATGTTTGCAATTTCAATCGACGACGTTACTTAACGTCAAAATAGGCCGTTTTTGATATTATCAATAATTACTAAGCGACTAGTCACCCTAGTACTAGAAGGATTGCTACTTAAGTTTTTCCACGATGAGATAAATAGGCCACAGGATGCCATTGAAGTTCACTATGCCTTGCCTTCAAAAAGTGTGAATACCGCTCGTATACAAGATCGACTGGTAGCCTGGAAACCTAATTAAAGCAAGAAATAAGTAATGTACTTTATTGTAAGAACAAATACAACTGCTTCATTGGCAATCCCACCACAGAATGTGATGGAAAAATGCCTGGCCCTCCTTGAGATTCAGATCAGCCCTGTGATTCAGGCTCACTCGTAATAAAGCAGCGTAGTGGCTAACGTATTGAGAGTATACCCTGCACTACCCGTGATCAAGTCCTACTTGGAGTGCCGATGAGAAACTGCAGTCCATTCTAGATGAGAATATCTTTTGGCAAGGATATGCCAAATTTAATGGGGAAGTGACGCATACTCATAGTATTTTGGAAACATTCAACAGTTCTTCATCATCTGAAACCAAATAGAGTGAATATGATCCATATACAGGATCTACTGATAGTCTGTGAAACATGCTTACAGACAAAAAGCTTTTGTTATTTATTAAGCTTGACTAGATTATTTATTTTTCGTGTTTTAGTAGAGTTTCGAGACTACCAGTAAATC